GTGTGTGTGTGTGTGTGTGAAGACAAAAGCTAAAAATAGAATCAGAAAGCAATCAAAGCACTATTGATTTGGCTTTTAAGGATGGCTGGAGACTGTTGGCTAATCCGTCCTCTTTGTGTAGGACTTGATGGGAAATGTTGGCTTGCTGGTAAGCAAATGGATCTCGTCATTCAGCAGCAGTGGGTTCTGTCTGAGACCAACTCGGCTGTTCAAACAACTGTCAGTGTGATACAGACTGTGAAGACCGGGTGAAAAGCTGCTCTGGCTGAGTCATTTAGGCCCAGGGCTTGCAACAACCCCAGAATGTTAAAACATGCAAGCCTACATTTGAATGTGGACAAAGAAAAAGGATCACAAGTCAACTGCTCCAACATTCAACTGTTCACCATAAGAGATTTTGGATTACCTCTACTTTCATTTAAAATGTTGTCTTATTGCACATATAACCCTGCTACACTGCCAGCTTTTGTCATCATGTTAGCTAAATCCTGCACACACACGCCAGAAATCTGTATTAAAATGATCTTTTTGTATTAATTTCCTACTTGCTCATATTTTTCATGGAAAGCAGAGATGTTAAAAGTGATGAATGTACCTTAATCTGTGTTAAGAGGGTGAAGTGTTCGTTTGAATGTTATGTACACACCAGTGATGGACTGTGTATTTTTGTCCATTTAATAACATTTTCCATTTAGCTACTGTGAATCATGAGCACTATCTTAATTCAGTAACATTTTTTGCCAAAGAAGAGCTTGTGAATTAGTGCATGTGAGCGTGAAGATAGCATGGTGATTCAATTTAGCTCAATTTATTTTGGAACCAAATAACAGGAAAAGTCATCTCAGGGCACTTTACGTATTGAGGCGGAGACCTTATATTAATTTAGATACGACAATTGCCTTTGAGCGGGACATTTGCTGACAGTAGGCAGTAAACTCTCTTTTAATAGGAAGGAGCCTCAGGCTTTGGAAAGGGGGACCATCTGCCCTGCATCTGAGGAAGGGCAAGAAACCCCCCTACACACAAACCCCAAAAAAATAGAAACATGTCATAGTAAATATAGGGTTTTTTTTGCAATTTTTAAAGGGATTAAAGGCTTGTAAGCACTCGTAAAAGTGTCCTGGATATGTGTGGATACAGTGAACAATATGTTTTATGAGAAATAAGCATAGAAATATAAAATACATGAGTCTTATAAGTCCTCTATATAAAATACAAGTGTGTACTTTAAAGGGAAACTTTGAATGACATTTTTCTTATTTATTCTCTGTATGAGAATAAGCACTGAGCATGTTTGATTATTCAGGCAAGTAGCCAGAGATCAGAAACAAACACCTATAAATGGAGGTATGTGCAGAAAGATAGAGGAAAGAGAGGGAAATGGAAAAACTACAGGTGAGAGAAGGGCATACACTGTACACCTTTGGACTCTTAGACCATGGAACCAGTTAGTAGGGGAAAAAAGCTTGGTGGTGTTGATGGAGCTAAATCAGGCAGACAAATTGGGCCGCACTACATCATTCACATGTAACATGTCTTTCTGTTTTCGAGTGGTATAACAAACGCTCGCTCCCAATTTGGCGGCCCATTCAAGCTATAAATTTCCCAACTCCCCCTCTGAGATGTCAGTGCTGCTCCTTCACTGTTTGCTGTTTCAACCCCTTCCACCAACCGAGCATTTAGCATTAAGCGCCGGGGGGATGTTTACTCATCGCTCCCCAGTTTCTGCGTATTCAGATCCTAGATGTCAGAACTCTAATTATATTTTTGTCTTGTACTGAATTATGTTAAATGTGAGTTGCCTGTATGAATGATGTATATTATGTCTGTTTTTTTTTAAACTTCCAGTTTGATGAAGGAGGGAACGGAGGTGCGTGGCGGCAGTAGTACTAGTCTGGTGTTGAACCCAGGCAGATTTGACTTTGAGGTATCGGACTGCTTCCTGCTGGGCTGCCCGCTGGGCCTAGTGTTGGCCATGAGACGCACTGTGCTGCCCGCTGTTCAGGGTAAGAAGGAGAAATGATGCAAAACATGTATTTAAGTACTGTAGTTTTAAATTTAATACAATCAATATGTTGTTTTTCTATGAAAACGTTGTAACAGTTTACACTGGGTTAGGGTAAACTGATTTTCACTTTGCTTTTATCACTCCACTTATCCAAAGGGCTTGCGTGACTCAGGTTGAAATCCTTTCTTATGGTCATGCTTGTCATTTGTGTTTTCTGACCCTCAGTGAGCCAGCTTCATCCAGCCTGCTCTCAGATTTTCAACCTGTTTTACCCCTCGGATCCTTCGGCTTCTAGACTCGAGCCGCTACTGCAGCCTCTCTTCCACAAGTTGCCACCATTTGCTGTGCCACGCTACCAACGCTACCCTCTTGGAGATGGACGTTCGGTGCTCATAGGTAGGCCGAGTGATTTAAGCCTGGAAATCAATTTGCTGATATGGGAGGACTGCTGCTCCTGAATATTTCATTGCTTAATCTATTTTCTCATTTCTAATTTCATGAAATCTGGTTTGAATTCTGTTACTCTGACTGGATTACAGGGGTAGACTGACTACAGAGAGACTCAGTGACTTAGCAGTGTGAGTTCTCCCATTTACATTTATACAGGACACAGAGAGCCTTGATCCCATCTGTGTGTTTTTGTCCTATAGAGGCAGAACCGAAATTGCCCCCTAAAGCCTGTGGTTCAAGTAATTATACTTTATCTTCTTGTGGTGGAGTACCATTGGCTTGACACTTCTCTCTGAGGATCAGTCACAGTATGTGAGGTAGTCAGCTGTTGGATCTGGCACAGCACTGCTGTAATCTCTCTGGGATTCTTGGTTGTAGGGACTCCATAATGAGTCCCTGATTTATTTGGTGCATGTTTTAGCCCACTCTTGGGACATAAAGCTTCTCTCTTAACAGCAGTTATGATGCATCGTCTGGTTCCCCTTTCTCTCCATCCACCTACATTACTGAGAGAAAGTAGGACAAGGACTGATTGCTTGTTTTAACAGCCTACGGGAAGAGATATGAAGATAAGGCTTTGTGGGTTGGTGTGAGGCTTTAGAAAATTGTATACCCTGCTATTGAAGTGCAAGCTTTAGAAATATGTTGAACTAAGAGCAGATTTGTCAGTCGTGTCTACTCAGTTATGGGGAAAATTAATTTCCATTTTGCTTTCAACTATCCTTTTTTATTAGAAACCCTAAAGTGGTATACTACTAAGAAAGAAAAGAGCAGAAACAGTTTATTTAGAACCAGACATGCATGTAATTTTATCAGTTTCTGTGTCACACTTGTTTCCCCTTTAGAAAAGCTGGGGACACAAGTGAACAAAAAACAATTTTGTGCACAAACAGAGATGATGTACATGTTTGTTTATGATTTTTGACAAATATTTGATGAAATGCTCGGCATTACACTAAAATAAAAATCAGTAAGTGTGACTCACACGAGTCTTGTTGCACATATGAGATGGCAGTCAAAAATTGGCTGCCCTGCCTGTCATAGTTTTGGGTTTCTGTTTCTGTTATTTCCTGTTTTAATTTTGAGATTCCTTTTTAAAAAATTGCTTTATGTTTTTGAAGATTGTTCTGCTGCACCACTGTACAGTTAGCTCATTACTCACCCAGCATACATACTCTCCAATTACCTTTGCTTCTTTTGGCTACAGCCTGTTGATTGAAGGCTGGAACTTCAATGCAGTTGTCCTCTCTGTGGGTCCTTTCCTGTGAGAAGCTGCATGTCAGGCAACAAAAAATAAATAAACAAAGACTTCAGCATTGTTGTATTTCATTAAAAACAGGAATAAGCTATTAGAAACTGTCATGGCTGTATGCACGCAGGCAGGGATGGAGGACCCAAATGCAGACTCCAAAAGGGCAGATGTGAGCTTTAACAGCTTTATTGCTGGACACAAACTGAACTAAACTGAGAGACACAAACATAAGCTAAACCGGCAAGGGAGACAGGACACACCGCTTGGTGAGGGTACGACGTGACGGCAAGTAGGAGCAGACATGGACACTAAATACACACACTCAGTAACAAGGAAGTGGCGCACAGGAGGGAGACACACCTGAATCTAATTGGCCAAGACGAGACAAGGGAAGCAAGACAGAATACACTAACCTGAGACACGGACCTTTAAAGTAAAACAGGAAACACACAGACAGAACTTACAGACACAGACTCACGATACTGACACATCAGGAACATAAGGAGAGGGACAACTAGACAGGAAAGGCGGGACCGGGGCAGGTACAGAGACACCGACCAGACACTAAACAGAGGGAGCACTGAGTACAGGGACCAGAGACATGAGGAGCACAGGGACCAAAACCTAAGAGATAGAAATACCAAACAGAAATCAAATCCTAATATACATGAAGCAAGATGAAAACAAAGACTAAGAATTAAAAACGAACAATGCAAAATCCAAAACACTGGGTCACTGACTCAGGACCATGACAGAAACACCACAAATAAGCACATTTTTAGCACTTTAGTTACTATATGTTACATATAAGAATAATGTTTCCCATATCACTCTACTGCATGCTGAAGCATTTTTTGAATAGTGAGCAGATTTCTCTGAGCACTTATTGCTATCCAAGTAATTAGTGAGAAATTTGGTTATTTTTTTCATTTCCTGTAAGGAGGGTTCAGTTATGTAACAGAAACCTCCGAGTGTCAATGGGGAATGCTTAACACAGAACCATGTAGGGTTATTCTTTGTTTGAAATGAATCTAATTAGCTAAACTACTGTATCTACTCCTGGAGCAGTCATTGAAGCAGTCATTAGATCCTTGAATCATTTGTTGTTTAAACATGGACTCATGGCTGATTCTTCAATGAGACCTATGTAAAGGAAATATCTGACACATGCTTGAACCCCTGAGGTCTTTTTTTCCTTTTATTTAAAAAAAATGTAATTGCATCCAGCTGGTCACAAATGGAGATGCTTGACACCTCTTAGAGCCAGAAGTGCTGATAAAGGTGATGAAGTGTAAAAAGCACACAGACAGACACAGACGGCTTGCAGCTACATTGGGTTTTAATTATAGGTCTGCATCCTTGTTCTGTTGATCAGACTTGGAAGCTCTCAAATTGCGATGTGTGTTAAATCAAAAACCATAGACAGGTGCAGGCGCACAGAAGTTACAGGGGCGCTCACATTACCCATTTCCTGCTCTGTAATATGGTAATTAGTTGTTATAAAGGCATGGAGAGCCAATCAAATCAGGCTCCTGTGGGTATGACTTTGACATCTACATCTGCCAACAGTAGAGCTTTTATTATGATGAATGCTGCTAATATACAGAGAATGGGCCCTCTTGTTATTGATTTCCAGCAACAGCCCAATGGGAAATATGATCATCCAAACAGCAAATGCAAAAGGAATTATAATAATCCTTATCAGTATTAATGGCACAGCTAATGGCGTTTTAATGTAAAAGGTTGACGGCAGTATAATTTAGTTCACCATAAATGTATTTGTTAATCAGATGTTCAGTATGGAGGCTGAGAGCGCTGCAATGGCTGAGTGGGTTGAAAGTCTCTTTTCATGTCTTTTTGTGACAACGACTTTCTAAGGATCATCCTCCCTCACTTGCAAAGTCCTCTGTTCATCCTTTCTTTTACCACTCATTCTTCACACTTATTTAAAATTCCTTCTATGTAAATACTGGTAATTTAATCAAACCTCTGTTTGCTCTTATTGCTTTAACTTAGGCACACAAAGACATGCATATAAGCAGGGGGTAAGAAAAGCTGGAAAATGTATGTCCCCTTCCATCTCCATTTTTCCTGGCAACTCTAGCAGATTTTTATGACCCTCTTCTTCCTCAGCACGCATCTTTGGTGGTTTGGTGAATGCGCATGTTTCAGAAAATGACGCCAGAGTCAGTGCCGCCCCCTCCTTTTCTGCCTCTCTTTGCTCATTGTGCTGTGAAAGAAAGATAGGGCTGTGCAATTGTTCGATAGACTGAAAGAGAGGAAGGTTCCTCTGAGAGGCTTAGGGCAGGTCTCATTAATGAAAGCAGGATGTTGAGTGTGTCTGCATTTGTGTGTGCTTACTTTGAACACTTTTGTTATGGGGACAGTGGGGGTAAAGCTTCACAAGATCCCCCCCATAACATTTTACAGTGATGTTTAAGCTTAGAAAATGATTAGGTTTGATTGGGTTTACAGCAGGAGTACTGCAGTGAAACTTGAATCAATGTGATGTCCTCAGTTTAAATACAACTGTGTCTGTATGAGTTATAAAGTAGTGACAGGAAGTACAGGAAGGATTTTTTTTTCTTCCAAATTATTAAAGTGAAAATAGAGCACTACCACTATAAAACACAAGGTGTATGGATTTTTGTGTGATATTGATGTACAGCTTTGGAAATTTTCATTTAAACAAAATTTATGCCCCTCAAATAATACATTTAAGCCAACTGTCTGATTACTGTTTAGATCTTGGCCTCTTGTGATTAGCACCAGGTCACTGACAGAAAATCCTTTGGTGTACTGAGGAGAATTTATATGAAGTCCTACTCCTGTACAGTATGGGTAGATATTGGATATTTCCAAGGCCTAATGCTCAGTCATGAAGTAAAAAAAACAACATTTTATTGGGCTGGAAACAGAAGTCGTAATGGTGCAAAAGTCTGTGGAGTAGCTCTAGCTGCAGGTAGAGCAGGTTATATACTAATTTGTTATCTACTAAAGGGTTAGTGGTTCATACCCGGCTGCTCCAGTCGGCATGCCAACGTATCCTTGGGCAAGGAGATATAAAGTGCTAGGCATAGGAAAAGAACTGTGTTACTGGGTGAATGTTGTATATTTAACACAAAGTTTAAAAAAGTCTACAACTCCAGGTAAACAAACAAGCACCACACTGGGAAAGCACACAGATGCTCAAGACTGAGGGGAGACATGAGAGAGCTAATCAGGGGGATGGACATAGCTGGGTGATGAGAGACAGATGAGGATAATCAGACAATCAATGGGAGGGTGTCAACTCAAAATCAGACACAGATTCTAATAACAGTGACTTGTGTTTGGGAAACAAACAACTCTCACGGAAATGAGGAAACACAACAATACTGTGAGTGAACGAGCTAACGTGAAGATAGCACAGTAAATGTACTCTGACAAAACAAGGGCCAAGAAATGACAAAAAAACTGAAACTGCAAACAACACAGTGTAGGAGGACAGGTATGAAGGTAAATATTAGGGGTGCAACGATATTC